TATGAATAAAATCTATAGCTATTAGGTCGCTTGAGCTACCAATCGCTTTTGCAATATATTTTGCAATATTTCCCTCTGTTTCATATTGGTTTGACCAAGAGTATCGAATCTACTATATAATTTACAAAATTGTTTAGGAAAGCAAAACTTTTTTTAAATATTAAAAAGGGAGAAGTTTTTATATAATTATACCAGCGTGTTTTAACTAAATTTTCGTAGCGTGTTTTAACTAAATTTAAAGAATTAATATACAATCATTATTAAAAAATTACTGGCAGCGATTTACCAAATAAACAAAATCATCGTCTTTTGGCATTGCAACGTTTAGATGCGGTGACAAAAACAGCACGAAAACTAGTTAACGGAGCTGGCTAACGGAGGAATTTTAATTGAAAATTTTATCGAAGCGGTTAATAAACGAAAGATTAGAACACCATTTTTTTTTTCATCCTTTTTTATAACCGGCCGTTTAGAGTTTTATTTCTTCGCGGACACTCAAATTCTCCGTTAGTTTGATGGAGAGATGTGATTACGGCTGCAGAGAAATAATAAATTAGCAGAAAATCACATATCAACTTTTTTATGTTTTATCAATAAATATTTATCAGAAATGGATTATAGAGGTATGAAAAATCTTCAAAAAAAAACAAGAGCTTTACAACAAGTATTTAAAAAATAGAAATGAAAAAAATCTAAATACTTACAAACAATATAAAAATTTATTTGAAAAAAAAAAAAAAGTTCAAAGAAAAATTACTACTCGAACCAAATAAAAAATGCAACTTGTGACATTAAAAAAATATGCAATACTATAAAAGAAATAATTGGGAACAAAAAATCAAATAGTTTACCTGCTCAAATTATCATAGACATTATAGAGTACATTGACAAAAATATGATTGCTGAAAAATTCAACAAAGTTTTTGTTAAAATTGGCCCTAATCTTGCTTCAAAAATTAAGTCTCCTAATAACTCATTTAAATCCTACCTAAGTGATACCCAGAACGAACTAAAATACAAAGAGCTAAATTAAATAAAGTTCCAGGTATAGATGATACCTGTAGTAGGGTATTTATTTAGTTCATCAAAAATGAAATTAATGATTTATGTCTATCATGTTTTTGTTGATTTTGAAAAGTTTTAATAAATAGACTTGTGCCCTTTTCGAAATGACAGCTTCAAATGCTATTGTGTCAAAAAAAGAAAATTTGAGCTCAGAATTCATATAAAATTTAAGTTTAGAAACTAAGTTCAGAAACCCTAAATTTAGAATTTCAATTACTATTTCAATTACTGCAAGTTCTAATTAAAATTTCAAAGACTAACCATTTAATTTCAATTACTAACCACGAATATTGACGTATATATACTTAAGTATTTGAAATGCGTCAAAACGCGTTATTAGTATTTTCTTTTTATAGTTAAACCTGTCCATGGTAAACATTAAAAATTAAGTCATTTTATGGTGTGCATGCAGACATCAAGCCGATGCATTGGCTTGATGCAAACGACATCGGCTTGATTGAAAACGACATCGTGATGTCGTTTGCCAACCGATTTATTTTGTTTATCCGGCCGATATCGGCCTGATGAAATAAAAAGATACCGATATTAAAGATGTCAGAAAAACATCAGGGCAATATTCATGTGTTGTCTGGTTTTGGATTGTATTAAAAAAACAACGTTTAAATTAATAACAACATTAGTTATATTAAAATAAAATAGATTTGATACATATAATAAAATGTTGCATTTTTCTTAATTTCAAATGAGTATTAAACGATTGCAAAAGGTTCCTATAATGTCGTTTATAATTCAAAGACAATCTTGGGTTAACGTAAGGGAATAATTTTTATTGAAAAAAAAAATTTGTATTACTATTTGTTTATTATTATTAAAATGCTAAATCTAAAATAACTATTTTTAATAGCAAAATGAGTTTGAAACTTAATGATTAAAAGTAAAAGAAAGTTAAAAAGTTTAATTGAGGTTATCTTTGATAAACACGATTAAGAAAAAATTTTGATTTTTTGGATGAAGGCTTTTAGCTACGCTTTTTCATAAGATCTTTACGAGCAGTATATATGTAATAAATTTTTGGCATCTAATAGATCAGAAGTTGATTTAATGCTTAATATGTTAGGGAAAGGAAGTTTTTTTTTAATTAGGTAAAACGAGCCCTGTTAAAATAAATATCTAATAATTTAAGAACATTGCATTTTGTGTAAAATTCGAAGAATTAGTTTTTTAAATTAAGGTCGTCAAACCAAATTCAAATGAATTTCTTTAATAATAAATTTTCATTTTTTAAATTAGTCTACTTATGTTGTATTTTATTTTAAATGAGAATTAAAAATTGTAAAAATTTGCCTCATTTATTCGACATTACTTCAGTTTTAGCTTGTTGTTTAAAAAAAAGGATTTCTCAGAAAGTAAACATCCTTTTTTTAATACCCTTTGGTATTTCAGCTACTTATATGTTAACTTAGGTACCCTAGCAATTTATCCATTTTACTGGTATATTTCTAAATTTATAGACATTGCCATAATAGTTTCTAGTTATACCGGGTAGGTCTTTGATGACAAAAATCAAAACTTATAATCAAGCAAAAATATTTATTCTTCTACCAGTCCTCTTCTAATGTAATTTGAACAAACTAGGAAAAATCTGGTGATAAACTTTTTTATATTTATCAGATTTGCTATAAGTCTATAAATCGAAAAACAATAAAGTTGCAAATAAAATGTTCCAGAAAAAAAAACTGGTTCTACTTCTGCTCATCTAACAAAGAACAATTATTTAATTTCTCTCAGCTTCTGGCTCCTTACTTTGCTTTTGTTGGCAGATATATACTTTGCTTTTGATATATGCAACACATCGTGTAACTTTATTCATAAACCTTCCACTATTAATGCCTCGAGCTTTTAAAACATTAATTACTCCTTGAGAACCATTATTGAATGGAATAATAGTAAAATTTGATGGTAATTTAAAAGACCTTTTTTATATATCGATGACATTATGCACAGAAGTGTTAAGTGCCACAGATGTGATTTTACAGGGGAGCATTTTAAAAGTAGTAAACTAATAACAATTTAATAGACTCATAACAATTTAAACGATTAGTAGACTCATAACAATTTATTGTACACTTACCATATTCGGGCACAATGCTTGAAAAAATACAACAATTTTTGTGTACTTAGCTCAATTTAACCAAATGTTGTACTTAACACTTCTGTGCATAATGCCATCAATATAGACTTTTAAATTTTTTATATATATATATCCTTAGGACATCTTGTCGAAATAACACCATTCAAACATTCATTACTGTTCTGTGTTTTACTGCAAAAAAACAACCATTTTTAGTGAATCTTTATTAGATAAATCTCTGAAAATTGGTTTCACAATTTTGTGAATAGTTAATGAAAAGCTTTTTTTTTTTTTTTTTTGAATTTAAATAGATTTGTTAGCTTATCTGACTGCCACAAGCAGCATTTGACGTTGGACAAAACTTGGTAGCATAATCATAAAAGGTGCAAAAGTACGCAGAGATTTATAATAATTTCCAAATTAAAAGGCACAATATCATTAAACTTTACAGCAGCAACAGGTTTTCCAAGGGAAGGTTAAAATTAGGGCTTGAAAAAGATGTATCAAACTTTGCAAAAAACTTATACATATCAAATGATGACTGTAACTAATATAAGTACCCATTTTTATTTTGTAAATTGTCTTTTTGTAAAAACTTTCTACCATTTAATAAGCAACGTTTACTAAATTTACAATCATTAAACATTGTCTTTAAAACTTTAAAATTCATTTTTATGTTGTAATTATCTTTTGTAATTTATTGTTTAAGTTTTTTTTTTTCAACGATATGAAACTCAGCATTATCTTGCAATTATTTTTGACATTTCTTTTTTTGTTTGAAACAGAGGTTCGATTAAAATCGATTAAAATCGTACTTTAATTGGTGACATGTTGGTTTCCTCTAAATATATATTTTTAAATATATTTGGTAAATTTTAGAACTTTTTAAAAACTTTTTTACTTTTATATCAATGTATTAAGGATAAATTAATATATAACTTAAAAAGTTTGCACGGCTGTTGTAGCAGTATAAAGAATTATTTATGTAAAACTTTCACGGCAATGACTTTAAACTATAGTAAAAAGTTACTAAAAAGCCATATAAGGCTTAACAGTGTTTATTTTTTATACTATTACTAATTTTATATTGATTTTTGAGGTGATAACTATTAAATTGTCTTAAAAAAAAAGATTGCTATGGGCGTTGTTAGGTAAAAAAAAATCTACCTTAATTGTTCGTAAAATAAATTAGACCAATTCATGAACAAATTTGTTATATGTAAGTACTCTAACTTTGTTCTACAATGATTGAAATAATAGAACATCACATTTTATAAAATCTCGAAAAAAAAATTTAAAATACGTTTTGAATAGGGTTGACCACCTTAACGTAGTTTTATCAAGCTATATAGAGATCGCAGAATCTCTGAATATGATAAATTAGATTGAATCTAAAGCATCAAAAAAAAGTTCCTGTTTTCTTCTGAAACTACTTCTTTGGCCCAAACTTTGAATTTAAATAATTAATCTCAAGTATGACATTTTCTTGAATTAGCCGTTTTTTCAACTATTTAATTATAATCAAGTGAAACTTAATACTGTAATAGAATTTTAATGCCAAATTGTAATTAGTTTAAATAGTTTTTTTCTACATATACGGATGTATTAACGGCGGTTAAATATTTGATTTTTCAAAATATAAACAATAATTCCGAATGGTTGCAACGACAAGATCATTGAACTGTGCCAAATTACTCAAGAGAAAGCTGCGTGCAGTTGGTTCATTTAAGAAAATTATGTACAACTTTGTACTCAAACCATTTTCCATTGTCTTGAATTTACAAAAACAAAACTAAATAAAAAAAACTATTATTGAAGTTGTCTAAGTTCGGTTATTCTAACAATATCATTTAAATTTGTAGCTGATAAGAAGTGTTAAAAATAAAATTCAAGAGGTCAATAGTTTTATAATATGTTTACATTGACATTGTTTTCAGTGATTATTTTTAATCAATTTTTTGTTAATTGCCAATTTGGTGTAAATAGTAACTCAAATTTTGGTGGCGAAAACTTAGATAACACTTTTAGTAATTTAGACTCAATATTAGGTGGAAATACAAACACAGCCAGCCAAACTTCCTACCCTTACGATAGCAATGTTTCACCAATTAGCCCGGATACAACAAGTTTATCAAGTAACCCAGCTGAAGGGTTTCCATCTGTTAAAGAGCTAGAGTCAAAAATTAATGGAAACGTTCCAGATGTTAACAGTCTTCCTGGTTTTGATAAGATTAGTTCCGACTCGGACAAAACTACTCTTGGGGGCGACTATCAAAAGCAAGCCAGTGCACAAGATGACGCGTCCATTCAAGAGCTTTTAAAATCTTTTCAAACTGATGATACGAATGGTAATTATTTTCACAATAGTGGAAACACGGATCTTTCACATTCTCCAAATGAGTTTCAACAGCAAGCATTAAATCGTGACGATTCAATAAATAATCAGTTGCAATCTTCAACATCATTTAACTCACCAATTACTTTAGTCACCAAGAAAGTAATATTACTTGTTCAATTACCTGGATCCTGGGAACCAAAAAGAATTGTAATAGGAGTATTTGGGAACACAGTGCCAAAAACAGTGGCAAATTTTGTTGATTTAGCAGATTCTAAGGTGATTATTGCTTTAGATATAAAGATATGAACTTTATGTAATAATGCTGTTGTGTGCAAGCATTTTCATGTGTGAAGTACGCAAATAAATGTCTAATATACGTTTATTTTATGTTTCAATATTCTTTAATATTGTAGTATGGATTTGGATACCGAGGAAGCATATTCCACCGGGTCATCAGTAACTTTATGATTCAAGGCAAGTTATTTGAGTTTCTGTTTTTAGTACAACTTAACTAAACATTTTAAGATTTTTTAAAATAAAAGCTAGTAACAAAATAAGTTTTTATTAAAGCAATAACTCAATCTATCTAACTACCCAACAAAAATGTTTTAAATTCTTAAGAAACCTTTTTTTAGATAGTTCCACTACTCCATAACTTAATATAATTTATTCTAATGTAAGTGCTTTATTTTGAAATATTTTTAAGAGTGAAAAGGATCATAACAAAGAAAAGTAGCTTAAATAAAACTGTAATAGTACAAATAATACAATAGCCTTATGGATTGATTATTATTATTAATAATATAATAACCTTATGGATTACATTTTATAAAGATTGAAAAACTTTTTATATTGAAGTATAAATGAGGAATGAATAATGGAACCTCATGGACTATGATCTTGGTTTAATTATTTTAAATACGTTTTAGGCGGAGATATTACAAGAGGAGACGGAACAGGAGGGAAAAGTATTTATGGAGGCCAATTCGCTGATGAAAATTTTTTAGTTAAAATGAACGGACCAGGCTGGGTTTGCATGGCAAATGCAGGCAAAGATACCAACGATTCTCAGTTTTTTATCACAACTGGAGATACTCCTTGGCTCAACGGAAAGCACGTATGCTTTGGGAAAGTACTGGAAGGAATGGTAAGTTTGTTAATTATAATTTTTTTTTTTTTTTTAATTTGTTTAAATTTAAACTATTTTATGAATAATTGATTTAGAGTGTCGTTAATCAAATACAAAATGTTCCAAAAGATAGTAATGACAGACCACTAAGTCCAGTGAAAGTTGTAGAGAGTGGTAGCCAAATCGTGGGAAATCCGTTTGATGCGGGTAGCCAACCGGTGTACAGCAATTAGCCTAGTGACCGTCATTCAACGTTTTTGTAAAAATAATTAGAAAATGTTTAATTTCTTTAGACTCGGAGAAAAACTTAACAACCCTAACGAGTATATAAACACAAATAATAATAAAAAAAAGATTTATATAGATCAGCTTCAATATTATTTCAAATCGGATATGAATTCCTTTTGAACACAGTGCAGTTTAATTACACAATGTAGAAATACCAAGATTACCTGCTAGTAAAATAAGAAATAAACTGGGGATAACAGCTGGTATTTTCTAAGAAATTAGTTGATTTCTCACAAAACAATAAATATTTTTACAACTATGATGAACCGACATCTAATACGATATACCCTAAAACGAAAGTTCAAGTATACGATTGGAATAGTTACATCAAACAAACGTGTTTATTATCTCAATAAAAGAAATCAATTTGAATGATCTTCAAAAATAATTTTAGACTTTTTTAAATAGTTCATAATTTCTAAAACCTTAAATACTTAAAATTCTTTCTTGATTCGCTTTAACAACATTTAATTCAAAAGTTTGTAGCAAAGAGAATGAAAAAAACAATTAAGGACAATTAATAAAACTAATTGTCGAAAATTAAATACATATACACGTTAATTTGATTTTTTTCTAAACATATTTATCGCCACAATATTTTTATTCATTTCACGGTTGGAGGCATTCCTTAAACCTTCTGCGACGTGTCTGAGTTGAACTTGAATCTCTGGCTTCATATTCTCGGCTTCTTGTTCGAGTGTTAATGCGAGAGAAACAAGTAGTCCATGAAATCCATAAGCAACACCAGCCTTTCGTAGTTTATTTACCTCCTAAAAAAGCGTAAACATTAAATAAAAATTAATTTTGATGGTTTTAAATTTTGCTGAGTGAGGTGTAGGGAGCCACGACTTGGACATTTTTTATAGTATGAAAAACATGATTTTAAATTGTTTTTCAGACCAAAATAAAATAATACTAATATTTTTTATAATAAAGAAAGTAACAAATACTAAACTAGTGTTATTTGATTCTTTTTTCTTTTGTTACAAACCTTTTAAAATATTTTCTAAATATATAGGGTAACTTTGTTAATTGCTGGCCATTAACCATATACTAGCCACTGTTTGAACTTTACTCCTTAGAAAGCAGTGGCGCTAGTTGCCTTACAGTAGTATTTAAACTTAATGTCTTTATAAAAACAGCTTCTGTGAAACATAAATGTATGGATAAGGCAAAAATTTCAAAAATATTTCACAACTTTGGAAAGACTAATGCAAAATAACTTATTCGACAAACCAGAATGTATTTAAAACCAAATTGAAATTTTAGAACTTCCAGCTCACACCAACAACTGGTAGCAACCTTGTGACAAAACAGTTTTTAAGCCAATGAAAAGTATCTATTTTGATGTCTGTCAAACAATGATGAATGACAACTTAGGGGTCACGGTTTCGAATTCTAACTTTTGCGTTTTATTTTCAAAAGTATGGAAATGTGAACTGATTCAAATATATACTCAGAATTTCATGCTTGTGGAAATCATCTTTTTAATTCAGGTGCTATTCCACTGCTCAGATATTAAATACGTTTTTTTACTTCTTTTACTTTTTTTTGAGGTTCATTATCTGTACTTAACATATAATGAATCAATATGAAGAAATTATTTTGGTTTTTATGCTGTTGATTTTTTTAGTTTTGCTTTACTTTTTAAATAATTGTATTAAAATAAATGAATAATGCTATACTAAAATAGCCATGTACATATATATCGACTGAGGGTTTGGACAGGCAGATGTAATAAATTTTCTTTATACGTTATCTAATATATATATGAATATATATATATATATATATATATATATATATATATATATATATATATATATATATATATATATATATATATATATATATATATATATAGACACACACACACACACACACACAGATATATATATATATATATATATATATATATATATATATATATATATATATATATATAATTTAACATACAATATTTATACCTTAAAAAATACAGATTGCTTATCAGGTAATTTTTTTGCATAACGTAATAACTTCTGAATGTCAGACTAAATAAATAAAGAAAAGTATTATTATTCAAATATATGTGATACCTATGGAAACAGTTTAATTTTTCATCAAACAACTTACTACAAGCCCTGAAGATTTTATCCACACAGCATTTGTATGAGAGTGATAGCTTCTACGGGTAGAGGTTATAACAGGGAAAGGACTTTCCTCTGTACCTTCTTTTGCATCTTGGAGGTATGGATTAGATGGAAGTTCATAAGCAGGACCAAGATATTTTAGATTACCTAACCAGGGAACTCTTTCCAAGCCAGGCTCAAATATTGACAGCATAAGATTAGACTTTTTTTTGTTATCTGCCCAAGAATAAAGCATTCCATACCACTCATTACTAAATACAAAAATACACAATTTTTTAAATTATGAACACATTTAGAGGAGGAAGGAAGGGAGGGTACTTAGAAACTTGAATAAAACTAATGTCATACTTAAACAAGAACTTCAACTAGACAAGGGCTTTAGTACACATTCAAAAACTTGGGCAAAAAAAGGTTTTTTTTTCAATATGTCCTACTAAAATAAGTATAAGGCAGGCATTAATTTCATGCCTCCAATACTGTTTTATCTAAAACTGCATACAGTTATTTGTATATATTGACCTCAAGACTCGTTGGGCTGTTAAGGTTTTTATCATTGCCCAACAATCTGCTTTGATGATGCAACAATCACTGGTTGAACACTCCCAACATGTTTTCAGATGTATGATGTACCACTGCAACATAGCACACTAAAGTCAGTAACCTGGTGATCTCACAGTCAGGCAACTCTTGGTGCATGATCTTGATTTACAACAACAAAGATAGAAAAATGGTACTGCAACAAGTTATTACTTTTTATGAAGAAAAAAACAATATTTCAATGGTGATCGAGCGCAGAGCATGTGAGAAGATTGTGAAGCTTTAAGAACAAAAAACTTTATTCAATTGACAAAATCGGCCATGACTCCCAAGCCACTCAGCAATAACTGGAAGAAATGCAGTCCATACTGGCATCAACTTTCCAACTTTAGCCACCATTTGTAGTAAGTCTTGCAAAAAAATAATCTTGTAAAATGAGGATCTGGCATTCCTGAAGCCCATGAAAGGAGACAATGCTTCCAACTTTGATGCTTTTGACAAGACTTGCGCTAAAAGCTCTGAAGTAATTACTGCAATATGAAGCTGTATACAAGGATATTGCTCAGTCCACAATTCAAGCACTAAATTGACATCTTTAGTATCTTGATGCTGAAATGATCCCTTTTGTACTGTTAAGTAAATTTGCCAAAAAGATCAACTTTAGCAGATGCTTTGTTTATACTCAAACCAGTGAACAATTTGCAGGCTCCATTGAATCGATTTGGAAAAAGATAAGCCATTAATCATTCTTCTTGGCTGGAGTCCTGGTTTACAATTCATCATCTTCAGTTAACACCAGCTTTCCTAAAGTTAAGGAGTAGGACAGATCTGTTGCTTACATTGCCAGTTCAGCTACAGCTGTTAATGTTATTAATAAATGTGCTAAAAAGGGAGTCAAGCTAGCTTCAGACTTCATCAAAGCAGCTAGAACTGATCAACAAACATTCTTTAAGTGGACAAAAAGGATTGCAAGGACACCCCAAGTTTGTGTCAGAAACATTGCAAGAATGGAAAACTGTAAACAAACAAACCTGATTAAAACAGTTTTAAACATTTAAATCATTTTAAGACATTTGCAGTTAAAATCTCTTTAATAGCTTGATGTTCCCAGGAACAAATCCAGATCTGTTTTAGTACCGCTGGAGCAGTATCTCCAAAAAAAGTAACCAAAAATAACTTTAACTTATTAATTTTGCTTTTTTATTAAAAAAAGAAAAAAAAAAATTAGTTTTAAATGCAGTATTGTATAAATAATTTTTAGTTTATTTTAGCCATATCATTTTTTTCTCCAGGACAGTAAAATCAATTAAAAAGAAATTGCTTTTTTCACATAATTACGTGACATAACTGTCCTTCGATTACTAACTTAATGTTAGTTTAAAAAAAATCAAAATCATTACAATACTTATTTTCATAACAATGGAATGTATTAAAAAATTTACTTTTGCGAAAGATAGAACGATTTTAAAATATCCATTCTGAGTAAAGTTAACTTTTGTTTTTTGGCAATTAAAAGTGAATTGCTTTAATGATAAATGACCAAAAGTAAAAAATTTCAGTCTTAACAACTATCAAGCAAACTTAATTTTTGAATAAATGAACTTTTGATCATTATCTATTTTATTTTACATGAGGAAAAAGAAAAAAAAGAAACGTAAACTTTTTCAGAAAGTTTTGTTTCTTTTCCATATTTTTTTTGACTTAAAAAATAATAAATATAACAATTACAATAACTTAATAGATGTTTTATTAAGATCTAGTTATTTTTAAACTTCAATATCTTTAAATGTAACTTATTTATTAAATGTAATTTTTTTAAATTATACTTAATGATTAAAAAAATATGATATATATTTTAAAAATATAATGTTTTTTTAAAAATATGTTTATTAATCAAAAAAATAAAACATTTTTAAAATTATTTTTACTGTAATTATCTCTTCTTTAATAATCTTTAATTTAAAAGACACTTTAAAATCACTTAAAAATCATTAACCTTTAGTCGAAGTTAAATGAACAGATTTGCTAATATTTAAATCAAAATTTTAAAATTAAAATAATACTAAATATGTTTATTAAATGCTCATGTTTTTTATTTGAATACAAGATGTAAAAACTATTATGTTAATTTTACAAATATTACGCAATTTAATATATGTAAATATATTATGCAATGTAAACATTGCAAAAAAATTGCATTTAACATTTAATAATATTTAACAAGTATTTAAACATTTAATTACTAATTATTTAAAACATTAATAAAGACTAAAACTAAATTTCCTAAAATATAGTTAATTGCAACAAAAACGTTTAAGTCTTAAGTAAAATAGTTTTCTTATAATAACAAAATAACATGGTTATATCCACCAGTAAATTCATGTATTGAAAGAAATGCCTTTAAATCAACTCCTTATCTTTGGATAAAACTAAACAAGATAAACACAAATGATTAAAATGATGATTAAAAAAATGATGATTAAAGTCATTGTTGCAGCACTGGTTTTAACTAAAGAAGAACAAGGGAGGGGGGGGGGGGGAATCTAAAAAACATCACCTCCCCCTCTACCCAACTCCCACCACCCCAATGTTGCCAAAAAAAAAAAGTAATACCCCCCTCTACCCAACTCCCACCACCTAAATGTTGCCAAAAAAAAAAAGTAATACCCCCAAATAAACTCTGGGTTCGCGACTAGTTTCAGTCTAACTTTAAAAAATAAATTATTTTATTCTTTCATGCAGGGCTCTGCAAAGCTTCGAAATTTCGAATCAAATCAAATCAAAAATATGATTCAAGATACGATTCAAAAATTTTTAAAAATAGAATCCTTACTTATTTTGTTTTTGTTGTGGATGTTTTAGGATTATTTATCCTTAAATACCTTTTTAATCAGTCATTAAAAAGGTTAACCAGGGCAAGAAACATCAATAAAGAGATAATACAATTGCTTTATTTTATTTTACTTTGAAATATATATTATTAAATAAAAATTGCTTAAATTTAGACTTCAAAATGTTGATTTGAAACGTGATTCAAATCGGAATCAAGACCTGCTATGATTCAAGATTCGATTCGAAACAAAAACTGTCGATTCGTAGGGCCCTACTTTCATGTCTACTGTGCATTGTTTTTGAATGGTAATTGTAAAAAAAATAAAAATTTTGAACTTTGAATCGTTTTTATCAAAAAAAATTTATACAAGTCAATTGTGCAATCCACAATTGAAGATCAATCAACTTAAAAAAAAAAGTAAATGTGCTATATACACTATTTAAAAATTTTAAGTGAACTTTGGTCATTAAAATTGTATTGGCCAGTCTTCTCTCTATTATAAGCAAGGTTTTTGAGTCTTTAATCAACAAATTTTTAACACCACATCTTAAGTTTAATAACTTTTTAACACCCCATCTTGAGTTTAATAACTTTTTAACACCCCATCTTAAGTTTAATAACTTGCTCTCTGATAATTAATACTGTTTTTGATCTTCTCATTAAATTTCCTGACTTGCTAACTGCTATAACTGTAAAATTCATGCATTTGTAATTCTGTAATATAAAAGTAAAATTCATGCAAATGTAAAATTCATGCATACAAATCATGCATTAGATGGAGACAGCAAGGCAAAGACTTGCTGCCTCCATCTAATAAATGATTTAATAAATAAAGATTATAAATCATTTCTTTCTAACTGGAGTATTTAAGTCATCCTCGAAAACCAACATTTCTAGGGTACCTTAAAGTTCTATACTTGAATAGAACCTTGAGTTTTATTCGATTTTCATTCACATTGAAATGTTAGCAATTTTAGCAGATAATAACAAATTGCAAATATTCCATTGAAATGTTAAAAAATATTCCACAAAAAACATTTGTGGAGTATTTCTTTTATTAGTTAAAAAAACAGATAGATAAATAAACTTTTTTCTATTTTCCTTTTTTTTTTTAAATTTGATTTTCAATTTATTTTATTAAATTTAAATTAAATGTTGATAAATATAAATTTATTTTATTGAATTTAATTCAAATTCTTTTTAAAATTTTGAAATGCTCTATTTTACAAATTTTTTACTGCTAAAATTTCTAAACTATGTTTAGGTAAAAAAAAAACAATTTTTATAAATTTAATTTAGATATTAATATTTTTTTTTAATTTCAGTTTTAAAATTGCTTTTTAACTAAAGTTTGTTAATTTTTTGAATTTATTATAGACTGATCGTTGATTAGAAATGATTAATTAGTTTATGAATAATATGTGAAGATTTGTTAAAGCCGACATAAAAAAAAAGGTTGATAGTTTTTGTTTATTTTTTAACTGTTAAAGTGACCTCCAAAAGACCCCAAGTGCCAAGACAAGTTGTGCTCATACCATAAAAAATCCTTGAAAAATAAGTTTCATGTTAATCTAACTTACCAGAAAAAATTATTTATCAAGATAAACTTTACCGCCTCTTTGATTTTGTTTCTTTAAAAAAAATGCTGGTCTGATTAATGCGCTTTTGTAATTAATAAATGACATCAATACAATTAAAGTTCTTTCAAATAACTTAATCTTGAGTTATAAATGTTTTCCTTTCGCAGTTAATTTTTATGTAGAAGAATCTCTTATATATTTTATAAAACGAACCAAACTTTTACAATTGCACAAAAATAACACGATCAATAACTAAATGCTTTAAAAGTTATATTTATTTTATTTTCAAAACAAAACTAATATTACTGCTATAGATAAGATATGTAAACTTTAAAATTATACTGATATTTGTTAAAAACAAGTTCTGCTAATAACTTTTTTTTTTATCTTGTTTTATAAACTTTATCTTTTCTCTTCAGTAACTTCCAACTCTAATTGTGGTTGCTTGCAGCCTTGTTAAAAGAGAAGATGTTGAAATAAAAAAATAAAAAAAAACATTTGAATTTTGTTTATATTTTTTTTATAACAATATTGTTTTTTAATTTAAAGATATTTTATAAAGATAAAGACTTACAACAATTTTTAATGGCATTTTAAATTTAATTACAATGCAGCTCTTTAAAATACGCAGCTGACATAACTAATCTTTTTCACATACCAAATTTAGAGTAGTTTAGTATTTTACATTCCTTTAAAACCAAATCTAGATTTCATTTCAACTTTTTTTATATTAGTTTAAATGATTTTCAATGCGGTTTAAAAATTAAATTTAATTACAACCCAATACTTTAAAATACATTAATGATACAAGTTAAACTTTTAATGGTGTATCAAACCTGTGTTCAAGTTACATTTATTAAATTTAATTTAATTACTAAATATGTTACATTTATTAGCTTTCCGAATTTCGTTACTCAATAAAATCTCATGTAAAGGCCAGGACTCCTTAAACACATTACATTTTTGTTATTAATTATAAATATAATTATAATTACATTTTTGAAAAATTTAAAAGAGTTGCTTGTGAGAACCAATAAAAAATTTTAAAAATAATAAATTTTTTTTTTGAAACTAATGGATTTAATATATATATATATATATATATATATATATATATATATATATATATATATATCAAATCCATTAGTTTATATATATATGTATATATATATATATATATATATATATATATATATATATATATATATATATATATATATATATATATATATATATATATATATATATATATATATATATATATATGTATATATATATATATATATATATATATATATATATATATATATATATATATACATATATATATATATAATTTAAATTCATATAATTTATATATATTTAGTCAAATCAATAAAGCAATAAAGTCAAGATCAAGCTGTTAAACTACTTTTAGACATTTTTTATATTTTTTAAATAAATGAAGAGTATTTTTCAATTGTTGTTAATAGATTAAAAAATATTTTTGCAAGTTTGATTTTGAAAAACTGATTTATAAATACCGAATTCACATATTTATATTACTTAATATTTATAAATATTTAATAATAGAAAATTATAAGGAAGTAGACATACCCAAGTTTAACAACAGCACCCATTTTTTCCATTTTTAAACTTCCATGCAATAATACACTAAACGATGGTTGAAAACTTATTGAATCTTTATTTTTACCTGCATTATTTTGATTGTTTTCATTTTGAATAGGTACAACTAAATGTCTGGACATATATGCAGGATTAGAAAAACTTTGAAGATCAAGAAAACCTATAATATTTAGAACAGTGCCAAGTTTTAAATTTGCTATTGGAGCTTCATCATCTGGATGTCTGTATAAGTTAACTATTTGAGTAAAAGTATTTTGAAATGATGGTGGAGGTGAAAGTGTAACTTGAGATTCAAAATGGCCACATTTCAATGTACCCTCGTATTTATTATAATGCAAACTAAGAAGACGGTTAAAGCATTTCTGTACATTTGCTTCAGTTAAAGAATCGGGTATTATCAACTCACCTTTTTCGTAGTTCATGGTTATAAGCTGTTCAAAATATTTTTTATTAGCACGAAGTTCATTATGACTGGCTAAACATATTATACTTAAATTACAAGGAAATGAAAAAGGTATGGGAAAATGAACATCTTTTTGTTTTTGATTTATAGTTTTTAATGATTCTTGCAAAGAATATTCTCCAATACCACATTGTCCATCTGTAATAAAAATTAAATTTATAGGAACAAAGCTTCCCCACTCTTCTGTAACAAGATCCTCAATTCCAAATAGAGCAGTTTCAATCTTAGTTTTATCGTATGTTGTTAAAGATAAGCATGCGGTCTTTAAAGCCTCATAGTCTCGCGTAAATTTAACAAGAACTTCATATAAAGATGAAAATACTACAAGGGAACTATGCTCCAATTTGCATCTAGATGATAACTGGTCAAAAAAATATAAAAGATTTGATTGAGCGACGTCAATTAGAGAGATTTTATCTCTGGTATTGATACTACGAGACATAGATAGCGATACATCGAGCAAGATAACAGTTGGCATATTGGTTTATTATATCTTTGATAGCTGATAATTATAAATAATAACTCTAACAAATTATTTCCATTAAAAAAAAATTAGGTACAAAAAAAATTACATAAAAACTACAGGAACGGTTTTCTAAATAACACAAGTTGTTTATTGTCTCTTAAGAGCAGGCTCGTCTGATTAAAAAACAAATAATCGTAACTACAAAAAAAAATCTTTAAACGAATTAATACATCTTGATTTCCGAGAAAAAAAAATAGCCTTACTTAAAAAAAGTGTAGCTCTGTTGTGAGCTATTTTTTTAAAAGTGCAGCTATAATTTACTGAGTTATACGCTGATTTGCTATGCTTTAAAACCAAGGTAAATCAGCGTATAACGTATTCCGTCTGCTACTTCATCTTGCTAACAAACAAGGAATTCGATTTTTTAGACAACCGTTAGCTATAGTTATATTTTTACAATCCCATGGTTGCTATGTGGTTTGTATATGGCCTTGAACTGTACAAGTTTGACAACAGTTTCCTAAACATTATGAATGTTGTTAGAATAGCACTTTTAAAATCATTTTTCAGTATCCCAAAATTATTTTTCAATATCACGGAAAAATTATTAACTAATATTAAGTTTTTTTTTTTTAAATAGAGAATATTTTAACCATTTAAACATTTGTTCAATTTAAGTTGTTCAAAGTTCTATTGAACAATTTAACTTACGGACAAGGCAACTTATTTACCAGGTTTTTGAACAACCTAACTTGGTATTCACTGATATTAGATAAATCACTTGTAACATAAAATAGTTTTTTATAAATACTAAATTATAAATAAATATTAACTTTATAAATGATACTAAACAAAATAATACCTATAACCTTATGGTTTAAACTTTTTCCAATGTAATTTTTCAATTAGTGTTAAAAAGAAAGCATATAAAAAATTAATAAAGTGATTACACTGATAAATACTTTATAAAATGAAAAAATTGTATGCTGATAAATACTTTATAAAATGAAAAAATTGTATAAAAACGACTAAAGACTCCTCTTCTTTCTTTTACCATCTATCGCAACCAATTACTCTTTGCTTGTAAAATATAGGAAGACAGATTAAGATATTACTATTTTTAGAAATAAACACCCCTCTTGCTCTACTAATCTCTAAGAGTTTAAATCTTGCACCCATCATACATTTGATCAACTTACTTGAAATAACTTTTATCAATCAAAAAAATATTTTTGTAATTAGAGTAATAAAATTGCTTTAATAATGCTATTAATTATTTATCGTCTGTAATAAAAAACTTAGCGTTACCATTGTTCCGGTTTTTATGAAGGAGAGCGCAGACCTGAACTATTCAAAATTAAAATTTTTATAAATAAAGGTTAATGTTACAGTTAAGTTTTATCGATTGATGTTTATGTGTTATTAATCTTTGACATAATTTTCAAAAAAAACAACAATAATTTTAGAGGACCAGAAATATTAAATATTTCGAAGAAAAACGGCTTAAACTTATTAATCCTTAAACTTCATGGTTAGGTCATCCATATTGTTTTTACTCCACATATACTGTATATTTGGAAATAAACCCCTATAAATAAATCACTTCAAACCACTTCAATCACTTCAAACTGTTTCTCCGAAACAGTTGCCCATGTTGCATCTTTTAGCTTTTTGGTTTCACAAATTAAGATTTATGTATTAATTGACTAATTTAAATATCCAGTCCTTTTATCGTGTATTTCGTTAAATATCCAGTCATTTCATCGTGTATTTTGTTAAATATCCAGTCATTTCATCGTGTATTTCGTTAAACATAAAAATACATTGATATAGTATTGATACATTAATATAGTATTGATGCAAATTTTAATATAATTTCTGGTATAATAACTATTATATATATATATTTATTTTTACTATACTTCAATACCTAAAAAAAAGAAAATCAAAGAAGGTTCAGCATTTTGGCGTATATCTATGTCTATATAAAAAGTTAATTAAGTAAACTTAGAAATAACTATTTTGTAATTAGCTTTGTAATTACTATTTCTACTGATATATATATATATATATATATATATATATATATATATATATATATATATATATATATATATATATATATATATATATATATATATATATATATATATATATATATATATATATATATATATATAAATTAAATCATATTGCATCTGTTTATATGGTGCTCCTCTGTGGCAAAATTATAATGATAAAACAATGGCACGCCTTCAGTATTGCTACAACAAATGTGGTAATATGTTTTTTGGCTACAACAAGTATGATAATATGTCTCTTATGCTTTTAGAGCACAGATTACCATCTTTTCATACAATTATCTTGAGCTACAGACATGCTTTTTGTAAACAGTTGATGGCTTGTTCCTTAGTGAATAATTCCATGCGTTCACTTAATCAAAGTTTAAAATAAAATTTTCCATGTAAAAACTATGGAACTGAATGGTATCTAAATCCTAAATGGTATCTGCCTGTTGTCTGAAATATATTTATAATAATAATAATAATAATAATAATAATAATAATAATAATAGCAATAATAATAATAATAATAATAATAATATATATATATATATATATATTATTATTATATATATATATTATTATTATTATTATTTTACTTTTTATAATTTTTTTTTTTTTTTTTATTTATTACAATTATTTTTACAAACTAAGAATATGCAGCTTTGCTTGATATTCCATTTAAGTCTTTTAATTTTTGGTTTTTCAAGTTTTTCCATATTTTGGGGCCCTGTGACATAATTGAAAGTTCAGAACCCCGGGTTTTAGTTTTTTTAATATAATAGTTATGGAAGCTATTTGAACGCAGGTTATAACTTTGAGAAAACGATTACGAAAATATGTCAAAAAAAGAATTTGGTAGCATAATACTTATTGCAGATGATATTTTTGATTCTATGTGCCCAATATCATTTCTCCATGATAAATTTTCATCAATTTGAACACCAAGAAACTTTGCATATTTTTCCCGTTTTATCTTTATGTTGTTAATGAGCGATTCTGGAATTTTTAACGTAGAGACATTGATTGACCTGTTTTATGAAAAAAGATGTAGTTAGTTTTTTCAGAGTTTAAGGATAGTTTATTTGCTCTAAACCATAAATTAAAGTTTTCCAGTTCAGTATTCATTGTTTCGAACATCAATTTTAAATTACTATGATTATAAAATAAGGTTGCGTCATCAGTATAGATAATTGAAGATACTATAGATGATGCTTTATGCATATCATTGATGTAAATTAAAAACAATAAAGGTCCTAAGATTGAGCCTTGAGGGACCCCACACTCAATATCAAGAACACTTGATTCTTTGTTAATTAAAAACTGCTTTCTGTTACTCAGATAGTTTTTTACCCATTTATACATTAGTCCTTTGGTATCATAATGCTTTAATTTTGATAGTAAGATGTTGTGGTTAACTGTATCAAATGCCTTTGAAAGGTCTATAAATACTCCCAGTACATGATCCCCTTTATCAAAAAATTGAAATATTTTATAAGTTAGTTCAATGATAGCATGTTCTGTTGAGCAACTTTTTTGAAAACCAAATTAACTTTTATATAAAAGTTTGTTTAACTTCAAGTAATTATAAATTCGATTGTAGATTACTTTTTCACAAACTTTAGAGAACACTGGTAGGAGGGAAATTGGACGGTAGTTAGACATATTATTACAATCTCCTTTTTTATAAACAGGATTGAGTTTAACAATTTTTAACATATCAGGAAAGGTACTGTGTTCAAAAGAAGACGATATTAGATGAAATAAGGGCTTTCTTATAAATTCAATGACGTGTATTGCTACATTGCTAATATTGTCATTATATCCGCATGACTTATTTCGCTTTAGTTCATTCAAAGCTTTGTTAAATTCTTTATAGGATATTTTTTCATTTGATATACACGATATGGGTTTTTCTCCAATAAATTCATCAAACTTCTTATTTGGCATCACTATTTTTGAAGCTAGACTGAAGATATTTATTATCACAAAATATTTTTTGAGGCATGCTAAAGGATTTCTTTTTTTCTCTGCCAGTTACTTCATTTATAATCGAAAATGTTTATGTTTAATTTATTTTTATTTAGCAGATTAGAATAATACATTATTTTAGCTTGTCTAATATTTTTTTGAAAAAACTGTTTATAGGCTTTGTATGTTTTTTCATCACCTTTATCCTTTGATTTCAAAAAATTTATATAAAGTTTTTGCTTTATATAAAACAACTTATAAAGTTTTTGCTTTATATAAAACATACATATAAAACAAATTTGTCTCTATTTTTTAAAAAACTGAAAAATTCATAGAATTTAAGTCTCCACCTGCTTTGATTAGATGAATATTCTTAAAACGAAAAGTAAGGTTGGTGTGTCTAACTAAGACGCAATTCGTTTTTTCCAAATTTTTTTACATTTCTTCATATTAAAAATTGCATATTTTGCAATTGTTTCATTTGAAAATTTATAGATGCGCTTTCATGTTACGAATTTTAGTTTGCGATGCTCTACAACATCTTTGATAATAGACCTTTTCATAAAGCAAAACGAGGCAGTGTTTGTAACAATCAATACAAATCGGCGATGTTTAAAAATGGCGATATTGTCTTGGTTGCAATGTGCTTTTTATAAATGTTTTTCAAACAGCTATGATAGATAATGTAAATGGAATTAGAGTTCCAACAAATATTATATTTTTCACATTTTTAACTGTAGAAAGAAATATTTGGTGTAACTTAATAAAAAGACAAGAAAATAAAGATAATTTAAAAACAAAAAATCTACTTGATTATGTCAAAAGCATTTCTTACAAGAAATGGTCGATGACTATTATTCTGCATCAGCACAATTTTCATCGCCACAAAATGAAGTAGATATCTCTTTATCGACATTATTGTCAGCGCCACTAGAGGAAGTAGACTTTAAAGTAAATGTTGCTGAAGGTAAATTAGTAGATTCATTTATCCAGTATAGTTTATACTGGATTTCCATCAATAACCAAGCTGTTTAAGCATTTTTAGATCCTGGAAAAAAATGGAAAAAACAATTTTTTATAACAACCAATAAACAAAAACACTTCATCTACCGAACGACCAAGAGTATTA